ACACACACACCACACACACGCCACACACACACCACACACACACCACACACACGCCACACACACACCACACACACACCACACACCCCCCACACACACACCACACACACACACACCACACACCCCACCCACACACCCCACACACACCCCACACACGCCCCACACACACCCCCCACACACACACCACACACACACACACCACACACACATCTCACACACCACACACACATCTCACATACATCACACACACATCACACACAAAAGGAGAAGCAGCATTCAGCTTCTATGCACCTCAAATCTGGAACAAACTTCCATAAAACTGAAAAACAGCTGAAAAACAGCTGTTTAGAGTTGCTTTGGAAGCATACTTAGTGAAACACTAACCAACATTTTGATGTGTGAATGACGGCTTGGAAAATGTAACATTTCAGTTGTTGATTTTGTGATTTTATGATCTAAAGCATTTTGAACTGCCTTGCTGCTGAAATGTGACATGAATAAACTTTGACTGATTTGAGCGTCTGCTCCTCTGTTTCTTCTCGTTTCCTCCAGACCTCCCAAGTTTCTCTGACCCTCACATTCCTCTAGTGGCTCGTGAGATCATGCAGCGAATGATCCACCAGTTCGCTGCCGAATATACCTCAAAAACTACTCAGGAAGACCTGCCCCTGCGCAACGGCACCATGAAGGACCAAAGCCTGCCGAGAGCGGTGTCTCTGCCCCCCGCCCCGACCTCCCCGGCCGGGCCCACGCCCGGCTCCCCTCCGTCGTCGGCCTCCTCCTCTCCGTCCCCGACTCCGGGAGCGGGCTTCAGCCCCACCGCCGTCACCTCGGCGCCCGCCAGCATCCAGAGCAGCAACGGGACGGGAGCCAGCAACAGCGGAGGGGGAGGTGCGGCTGCTGCCTCTGCACAGAACCCGGTCCTCAGCAAGCTTCTGATGGCGGACCAGGACGGCCCACTGGACCTGACCGTCAGAAAGGCGCCGGCTGACCAGGAGCCCAGCCAGCAGGGTGAGGGTGAGCAGCATCACAGTAGCAGCTCCGAGTCCAGCAGCATCTGAACACATTTATGCCGTTTCACAAATGAAACAAACTGATGGGTCGTATCTTTGCACCTCCAGTCAACCTTTGCTGACTAAGTAGACAGAAAACGTTTCTCCAGTTCCAGGAAACTCGCTGGCGCTGAAGCTTCGAGTTGCCTATTATTTCTTTGGGAAGATGTTTTAGAGAATTTATTTTTGCTATGGCTGACAGCTGTATGGGTACGGGAGCTGTCAGCGGCCAAAACTCTACAGAAACTACTTCATATTCTTCTCTTCTCACCACTTCGGTTTTGTTTTTTAATTTCCGCAGTTCCATCCGTGTTTTCCGCATCATGGACATCATGGATCCCTACGATCATTTTTTGTTCACCTTCATGGGTAACAGAACAGGCTGACTCATTTTCTAAGCACATACTGAAACAGCTCAACCCGTCGTCACACTAGCAGGTCACTAAAAGGCCAAAAAGTCTCCATCGTTGTAAATGCAAAGCAGTTCTGAGGCTGACATTGAACTTTGAACTCTGGGTGTTTAATTAAACCAAACCAGCAGTTTGACCACCACCGCGTTCAGGCTTGCAGCAACAGCTCTCCCTTTCGCACACATTGTGACTACTCATACACTTTAATACCAGAATCTGCTTACACTAAGCCTCCTACATTTAGACAAAAACATGGAGGCGTCCGCTGCACATCTCTTCCTGCAGGTCCATCCCGCTCTCTAACGCAGACAAATCCAAATTCACTTTTTGAGGATTTCTGACTCAGATTATCCCCAAATCGTGCTCACACTGCCTTCCTTTGAACCAGGGATGTCAAACTCTTTTTCCTTTTCACCAAATCAAGATCATGAATGTTCTTAAAGGTTCTGCCAGAATGTATTGATAAAACCTGTTAAACTGTTAAAACATAAATAAATTCTTAAAATTATATAATATTGAACATCTTTTCAGTCCTTCCAGGATTTCACAATTGTTTTTTGTCATTTATTTCCAATTTAAAAAAAACAATGTTTTTCACCATTTTTGGTAATTAGTCTTGAATAAACTCACAAATATGCATTGGCATGAAAAAATGCAGGGATTTGTTGATTTTTGCCTGAATTTCCACAATAATTCACAAGAAACTGTTGGGACTTATTGATGCAGTAAACAGATAAAAACTGCTTTGAACTGGTTAATAAAATATTGTTTAACACGCTGCTATCTTAACGGCTCCATTTATGAGTCGACGGGAGACATAAAGTACAAGGTCAATGGAGCTAGAACTTTTTCATTAATATTAAGGAATTATTTACTAAAGACAAGCTCCTATATCTTGCCTAAAAGATACCTGTCAGTTAGTTTTGTCTTATTTTAAATGTTCTGAGATATTAGCACTAGAAACTAGACTAAATATACTTGGTATAACTGAGCTCTGTTAGTCTCTCCTGACGTAAAGAAACATAATGTCACCTTCCTACAATAATGGCCAGTGTCAGTTTTGCAAAACCAGATTTTTTTCCTCCTAAATCTAAATCTTTTGGCAATATAAAGGCTGTGACTTTTTGCAAAAAAAAAAAAAAAAAATCATTTTTGGCTGAAAATGAGTTGGGCCATTATTTTAGGAAAGTGGCTTTTTTGTGCCAAATAATCTGAATGATTAACAGAAAAACCCAATCACCTTATAACTTGTTGCATATTCATCGTGTTTGTGCTTTTGGAGGTTTCTGTGCGTGCGTGCGTGCGTGCGTGCGTGCGTGCGTGCGTGCGTGCGTGCGTGCGTGCGTGCGTGTGTGTGTCTGCTCCACCGCTCCTATGAAGACACCATTGTGTCATAGTTGCCCTTTGAACTGCAGAACTGGATTGGATTTTTTAGCAATCTCTATAGATGGTCAACATTATATAAAAACTAGGCAGATCTTGATGGGATTATGACGTCGGTTTGCAGATGTGCATGTCTGTGCCATATGGGGCTGCATTAACTCGCTGGAACAAAGTTTACGCACCCAACTGTCGCTGTAACAACGCTGCAACTCGCAGCATTAAATGCATGTTGAACACACACACGCACACACGCACACGCACACGCACACGCACACACACACACACACGGTCAGATTAATGTTTGTGCCCCAAAGGAGACCTCTGATTTCTTGTTTGGTGTTACCTAATGTTGCTGGGGCAGATTAGTGAGGTAGTCCAAGCCCTGTGTCCATATGGGGTCGTCTAGATCACAGGGGTCAAAAGGTCAGCAGCTTTTCACGGATTAGACTCCATTCAAAAACTCATCCCTGCTCTCCAAATGTTTCCAAGCCCTTGTTTTCAGTGTCTGCCTCTAAAGTCGTTACTTGTCTTTGTGTTCCACCAGTAAACTTTAATGGTTTTCATGTTTTTGGCACATTAAGGAATAAAAGCCGGATGTTTCGCTGCAGCTGTGTTCTTCTTTATTTTTCTAAGAAGAAGAAAACAGCAACTAAAAACATTTTTTGTTTTCCCAGGCTTTTGTCTCTTGATTTATTGTGTTTCTTATGTTGGTTTTATGTTTTGCATGGTTTTAAGGTTGATTTCTATTGTGCAGTGCTTTGTGATTTTATGTCTGTGAAAAGCGTTTCATGAATAAACTTTACTTACTTATTACTTAGTCATCTTCAGATTTAGTCTCTAAAAAACAAACTAATCTAGTCCAAACATCCATAATTCCCTCAGTAGTGAGAACAAAGTCGGATAAAAGGAAAAAACTGTGAGCCATTCTCCCTTTCCTGTGTGTGGGAACCATATGTGTGTGAAAAAGCATCGTCACGAACAAGATTTCCAAGACGTCGCTGTGACAGACAGCCAATCGACGTGAAGCGGAGTATTTCTTTCCTGCCCTTTAACTTCTTAAACGGGGAAAGGTAGCTCCATATGTCGATGCGCAAACGGATAAAGCAGTTCCTAAAGTCGCTAATGAACTGGATGCAGATTCTCTAATGAGCTGCACAAACAAATTGACAGCAGGGATGTCTCACTGTGGAGGTCAGTTTTAAAGATGCTTAATGCAGGGAGTGCACAGCGTGAGCGATCTAAAGTATTTACAGCCTCCTGCGAAACGCGAAGCACGACTGCGATGGAAATTAAAAAGAAACTAACCCTGAAAAATACCTCTGCACTGAGGTTCTTAAATATCCGTCTGCGGCGACATGGTATGGTTGCCATAGTAACTGCTTCCTGTAGGTACATCAAATTGTGATTGCGCTGTAAAACATTGTATAGAAAGGCTTTAAACACGGCTGATGAAAATCAGGAGGAGTTGAGCGGGTTTGAAGGGGAAACCGGGCGAGTGCATAATGTGAAAAGGGAAACGGTGCAGCAGAATAAATAGACGGGGTGTTAGCAGCAACTGTTCACACACTGACATCAGAGGGCGGATTATTTCCAACTGAAAAGCTCTGGATTTATGTCTGATTATTTGATTCATTCAGTCTTCTCACTGTAAGCCATTCTGAGTCTTCTTTGTGTTCCTTTATTCACTTCTTTTGTTTAAAACTCATTTCTGTTTTCTCCATTGACTCCACTGAGTTTTTTTTAACTTGGCACAACAACTAATTAGAGCTGGACAAAATGGTTGAAAAATGTATCACAATATAAGCTATAATATTAGTTGATATTGATAATTATTGATTCATGTTTTTACTTAAACATCTGAAATGATGCCAAACTGCTTTACTGTTTTCACTCCATGTTGTTTATTTTTTGTTTTTAAGCAGTTATAAAACACGGTGGCAAAACTTTAAACTGCTGCTGCGCCAGTTACTCAGCAAGTTGTTGCTAGGTAACCACGAGTTACTCAGCAAGTTATTGCTAGGTAACCACGAGTTACTCAACAAGTTGTTGCTAGGTAACCACGAGTTACTCAGCAAGTTGTTGCTAGGTAACCACGAGTTACTCAGCAAGTTGTTGCTAGGTAACCACGAGTTACTCAGCAAGTTGTTGCTAGGCTACAAAAGAATGCGTGAGTTAGTTAGTTCCACCAACCTTGCTTTCTCCTCTGCCTACATCTCCCAGAATGCTGTGCAGTTCTGGATCGGAGTTCAGTGAATATTCTATGTATTGAACATTCTATCAGATATTGATCACGTTTCTGTTGCAGCATATATAGTTATTGATTTGTTGTCTAACCAGACAACTATGATGTGTAATATTTGCTTTCTATGTTACTGAAGAGGAAGTGGGACAACTGGACATGTTATCTGTCTGGACAAAGATTATCTCTGTCAGGATAGAGCTGATCTCTCGCTTTAGTTTCTTATATGAGTAATTTTTACAGTTAGCATGAATAAAACAGCATTTATTCATGCTTACATTCTCTGAAATGTTAAGAGAATGTAAACCAGGGGTCCCCAAACTTTTTCCTGCGAAGGCCACATAGCTGTTCCTTTCTGTGGTCGGGGGCCGGTCTTAGTTTTTGCAGTAAAAAAAAACAAAGAAATTCTTGTCGACGGGGGGGGGGGAGACGACGACACTTTTGGATAGATTTTTACCCAGAATGCAAATGGAAAAAACCGTGAGTGAAACGGTGACTGACGAGTATATATTCCATTGAGGGAAAGTAAGTTTCACATTTGCTCAAAAGCCCCCTGGTGGTTGAAGAAAAATCCACATATAAACCGGAAAATACAATATATGAAAAAAAACACTGAATGCTCTCTGGTATGAGCAGGCGGGCCGGATCCGGCATTGTTCAGGGGGCCGGACCAAATGACGTGGCGGGCCGGATCCGGCCCGCGGGCCGTAGTTTGGGGACCCCTGATGTAAACTCTCCCCTTAACTCTGAGATTTCCTAAAGCAGATTTCCCTCTTGCTTAAATAAATGGGTCATTAAAAGGCTTCTGCAGCACTTCATAGCACACTGACGATGCAGCAACCATTAATATCAGGTGTGCTGAAGCAGAGACTCGTTTAAAACACTGAGCACCAGAGTTGGGGACTGCGTCACCAAAGACTGTCTACATTTACTAATTTTACACAACTTATATGTATATTACATAACGTATATGTATAGATGGGCATTTATTGTAATGTTTATCTTTTACTTTGATAAACATCTTGAAATAAGAAGTTTGATTAAATGCTGTTGTGATAAATTCCAGTTAATGATGATTAAAATCCCCCAAACCGTCCGTATTGTTGTTGTTTTTTTTAATGAAAGCATTAACAAATACCAATAACATTAATATTATTAAATAAAGTTTAGTGATACAAATCACACTTCTTTATTTGACTGGTGTCCTAAAGAAGCAAATTACAAATGGGAATATTTTTCAAAAGCAACGTTGTTTCTGTTAGGAAGAAGTTATAAATATCCATTTTGTCCCTTTTGTCTTTATCACAATAAAACCACAAAATATTGTGATAAAACTTTAAGTCCATATCAGTCACCCTATAGAGGCTGGAAGCTGAATATGATTGGTTTAAGATACCAGGTATTAGTGGAAAAGTTCAAGAGGAAATGTAGAACACAATGTGTTGTATATTTTTTTTATCAAGTAAAGATCTTCATATTGCCGTATTGATGAAATGTGCTCAGGAAATGACCTCATGCTGCATTTTTTTCCAGGTTTCCTTTGGTTCTGCAGCAGAGTTGGTCCAATTGGCTCCAAAGAAAACCGACTAACTCTTAATCTCACCATCTTATTCGCACCCACACTGATAACCAACCATTTATTTAATCACACACTGATGAGCTCATCAAGATCACTGTGGGGTTCAGTCTCTAGCCTAAGGACTTTTTTACAAATTGTTCTTGGATCCAGCTGAAATCCTGCTGTTTGGAGGATAATCCTCAGTGTTTTTCTGTCTATCTTATTAGATTTTAACCTTTTTTTTCTCTTTTGATTTTATCCTCAGATGGAGTCTTGGACCTCTCCACAAAGAAGAACAACAGCAGAGGAAGCCCGACAGCTTTACAAGGCTTCACTCTTGCAGCTGGGGACAAAGGGTAAGATTGGCCAGAAACTTGAAATGTTTTACAAAAAATCACCAGTTTACATAGCTGTAACATGAATTAACTGAAAAGGTTTTTTAATTAATGCTTTACTTTTCAAGTTGAGTGTTTTTTTTACTGTTTTTGGCCCATTTCACTTTGCAACCCTTCTTTTCTAACTCATCTGGGAAAGAACATCAAGATGCTGATGTTTCTTTTGGTCTTTATTAGCAAATAAATGAGTACAGGACCATAGATATTCAGCCAAACTGAGGAATCATTCAAATATTTAAAATATTTAACACAACTTGACAGATCCAAACATGACCCAAGTTTATCTTCCTGCAACATGCAGTTAGCATAATCGTCTTTTCTGTCCTGCCATCACAAGCGTAGCTGTGTGAACTTTCCCATGGACCCCCTGCATGTTATTGTTTATATCTAGTAATTTGGTGCATGCGCACAACGCTGTAGGGACAAAAAGACTCTTTACATGCAGTCGATAGCCAGTAGAACGATTTAGTTAGCTAAATGAAGCCTGGAGATGTAGGTACTATTAGTTAATGCAGTGTGTCACAGCAAAGGGCAAAATAACACAGAAAATCCTTTGAAGAAAAATTCAACACCACTACTTTCTGGCTCTTTGTGTCGGCTGCGCTTCACACAGACTTGTTGCCATAGCAACTTACAACAATGCCACAACTGTATGTTTCAGGATTCGGCACCAAAAAAAAATCACTAAAGCATTTCCCACACAAAGAGCAGAACATTCAGTCTGTTACGGTTTTATGTTTCCAGGCTTGATGTTTATTTTACGATTATTAATAAGTGATCGCTGCGGTAGATTAGCTACCGCTGCTGTCAGCTAAGCTAAGCTATGGTGGTTGATTAGCTAATTTAAACACCTGCTCTACTCATGATCTGTCAGAGTTGGTGTTTAAGTCACCTTTTTTTTGTAACTCAACCAAAACACCAAATTCCACATCACGTCTACATGTTCAGTTTGTCAAAGTCAAGCTAGCACAACTAAACTACTTCCTTCTTCCTCGCTATTTTTTTTCTTAAAACTTTTTCCTGACCTTGTTATCTAGTTGCTGTGGTGTTAGCAATTAGTAGCAAAGCACTACGTCCATTTTTCTTTTATATATCAGGTGTACAGATAAGATTTAGTGCTTTGACAACTTAACAGCTAAAGCTAGTCATCGTTAGCGAGCAGCTTTTTGCCCTCCTGCAGGGAGAGGGGGGCAGGATCTGGTGCGCAACACGTCCACACCCTACTGGGACTTTAACTGGAACTGTCTTCCTGAGGTTAGCGTTTAGCTTTTCAGCTGAAGTGCTGCAAAACATTTCACCGCCTGGGATTTTGGGACAGATATTTTCTCACTTGGTTTTTTTCATCAGTAAGACACAAGTTTTGTAGGTTTCTGGACAAAACAAGTTTGGCTAATGTTTTTAATGTTTTACATCCTTTACCTGCATTAAATTAAAGTTTTCCATAAGAGTGTAAATATTAGGATAGTCACAAATGTAACTTCCTGGTAAAAACTGCATACAATGCTAAGATATTGTCCTGTCATCATTGGCTATATTCTATTTTAAATACAGAGTTAAGTTATTTTTGGCCACCTCAGGATCTGTGTCAGCACACAAAGTAGAGGCAGACAGAGGCGGTGTGGATGAGAAAGTTAATCAATCATGATTAGACTACACAAAATGAAAGATTAAAGAGCCAGCTGACCTGGGATGAGTTGTCAGCTCTTCGGACAGGAACCACGGCTCCGGGTGCTGGAGACGGATCGTTACTCTGGTTTATCACCGAAGCCAGTGTTGGTATTTGGCCCGAGGTGATGATGTCATACTTGAATCAGATTCATATCTGTATCCATTTGTCAAACTGCCATCAGGCGTCTTGTTTCCCTCCAACAAACTCTGTGATTTCACAGCCTGAGAGTCGCTGACGATCGATCAGCGGCGGCTTTAATGTTGTCAGGATCTGAACCTGTCGGATGGCGGCAATAAAGTCCTACTTTGAGCGAAATTGTTCTGATCTTCTCTCCTTTTGATAAAGGTGACCCACTGTGCTTCTTTGAACAGGTTAGGATGGGTTTGTGGGAAATTCAAAACATGTTCATCACATTTTTTTGCACTAAATCATTCTTAGATAATCAGTTCTGCCTATTTTCAGCTGTTTTACGGCCTCTTGTCACTTTAAATGCAAATAAGCTGCTACTGGCCACACTCCAATAGTCAGCTTTTACACTCACACATAAGAACTACAAAAAGATGTGCAATTACACAGCCGTGCATCTTTGAAAAGCATAATTTAATGCTGATTTTCGACATTAAATTCCAGAGGTTTTTGAAGCGGCTCATTTTCCAGACACCAAAAGCTATTAACTTATTGCCAAAAGCTAGCTGGGTGTTTTTTTATTTAAGCGCTGGAACTGTTTTTAGAAGCAGAAACCTAAATAAAAGTGGGGCTTTTAAAGTCCGGCTTTAAAAGTCGAGTTCTAAGAACACAGGAATTGATCTCAGCATCAACAGTTTAACGTTTTTACCTTTCCTTCTGATATCATAGCGCCGAGTTAATTTGCTGCTGATCAGTGCAGAAGTGATGTTTAGGTAGCAACAGCAGATGTATTTATGCAGAGGTAATTACAATTCAGAGCCCACCCACACCTAGCCCTCGCCCCACAGTCGGAGTTCAACAGCTGTACGGATTGACAAATCACGCCTTTCTCTTTTCCGAAAAGCAATCAGTGGCTCTGCCTTTATTGACGATTTCCTGCGTTGCTTCCCGTTAATTTATTGATGCACACGCTCTGCCTTAAAGCCATGCTGGAGACACGTTGGCCGCCATACTCGCTTTTCTGCATCAAGAGGGAATAAACAATCGACACTAATTGCAGCTGCCATTTTCAGAAATACTTTTGATCTTTAGGTCAAATATGGATCAGGAAAAGGGTCGATTGCGAGCGCGTATGCAGGCGCAGAAAAGCTCGCTCACATGGTGTCGGCAGGCCTCCTTTGATCCAGAAGTAAATACTTAAACAGATTCTGGACTAAGATTTCATCTTGACCTTTTATTTAACGAGGGTCCAGACAGTTACTTCGGTACGTAGCCAGTTCTGTCAAGAGAGCAGCACCAGACAAAAGGAAGGAGTGTTGGTAACCGCACCGTCGTTTCATTAATGAACCAGAAATCAGTGCACCAAATTTAAACAAAGATCTTGGTCACAGACGCTGTCGTCTACCAGGTGTTTTTGAAGAAGTTTTCATTTGTGTTTGGTTTATTAAGTGTTTTAAAATGGAGGTCTGTGTGCATCCAGCAGCAGGTTCAGTATGGATGAAGAATACGCTGTTTTATCTTAAATCAACAGCCAGCGAGAGAATAACGGCTTATCAAACATGCATGTAATTAATTACTAAACTTGCTTTTCACCAATTTATAATCTGATAAATTTTACTGGATTACATCAGCCTGTCCAGCGACTGCAGGTTTTAAATTAGCTTCATTTATTTATTTTTAGTTTTTTTAATCTAATCTGGTGTTATGCATCTCTCCTTTCAAGAGGCTAATGAAATGTTGAACATTGTCTTTGTATAAATAAACAGCATAAATGGTAAAGTGCTGGTCCAGATGGGGATCAGAACCCAAACGAACAGCAGTAGGTTGACTTAATAAATCAGCAATAAAATTTAATCAAATGTTGCATTAGAGCTGAAACGATTAATTATAACTAACTCAGTAATCGATTAATTGTTAAACTGAAGTAAACGGACTCTAAAAACTGCCATTTGCTAAATGGAGCAGTGATTAAGCCAGAATTGCACAAAATAAATAGATTTTGCTTTTATGATTTCAAAAATATAACTTTGACTGTAAATATGTCCAACCCAAAACTTGAGTGGCAGTTTTAAATTCGCCCAGTTAAAATTCTGTAAAAAATAATCTCCTATTAAACACGTTTCTTTGTCCAATTATTCATTGGTAATCCAAAAAATAATCAACGGATCAACTCTACACTTTATTGATAAGTAAAGCAGAAAAGGCTGAGCTTTTCTGTTGAGTGTATTTTTTCTGCTGCAGATTCATCCTCTGCCAGAAATAACCAAGTATTCTCCAAAGGAATGTGTTGTTATTGCATCATGGGCAATAACATGTTTGTTTATAAAAAACTTTAATTAAAAACCTGTAGATTGTGGCAATTTTCTTATCTGACTAATCGATTAATTGTCAGAATAATTGATGGGTTAATAGATAACTAAAATAGTAGTCCGTTGCAGCCCTAGATTAAATTACATTTCAGTATTTTTACGACTATTTGTCTCTTTAATTCATGGTCGTCAGTGATGAAAATAAATTGAAATGCTATAATTCAGGTGCAGCTGTACCTAAAGGTGGAGCAGGCGGGTCATGACCCAAAGCCGTTCCCCAGTGCGTAAACCTGTGAGAAGTTGGTCTACCGTAAAGGTGAAGCCTGAACCCGGTGCCTCAGAGACGCCGAGGCCCAGAGCTCTTCCTCCCAGTGAGGAACGATCGGATCATGTAATATTAACCGGAGCAGGAAGCAGAACCTGTCGGATCGCCCCGACCCGCTGCAGCTGCTCTACCAGAGACACGACGCGGCGCTGCCACTTAATCTGACCTTTCATTAATCTAACAAAACTATTTTAAACATTACAATGGAAATCTAACGTTCACCTGGGAATTATAAACGTTATAAATGATAAAGAAGCAAAACATTTAAAGGGACAGGATTTTAATTTGGTAGTTATTTTACCTTCTGAATCACATTAGGAGGCAGAAGCAACTGTTATCTTTAGTTATCTATTAACCTGAAGACTGATGTGTTTCCATCCACAAGCTTATTCCAACTGATTTCAGTTGTTTCTGATTTTATGGAAACATTGAAATTGCTAAATTTGCGGAACGACGACAAAGTTTTGTGCACATATTAAATGGAAATGCAGCTTTAACCCTGAGGTTAGGACTGAGGCAACGGATACAAGTGATGCGGGTGTGGGGTCGGTTGGACCCCATTTTTAAACACAAGGGTTAAGAAAGCTGAAGTCTGATCCTCCAGGAACAGCTAATCTCCAGTTTGCTAAAGTATGGAGCGTTCACACCAAGAGCGTTTTGAGCGTGAACGGTTTGGAGCGTTGGAAGCATCAAGAGCGTCCAGCGCATCCAACAGAAAACGCGTCTGACGCGCGAAGCGCTCGGCACAGAGCAAAACGTCAGGCTCTGCATTCAAAGCGCACACGCGTCGAACTTGAAGCGCTTTTGGTGCGAGAGCACCTTTAGACTCCAAATAATGTTCTGAGACCTGATTATACCAGAAGGTTAAAGGTTAAGAAGCCCTGAAATATCCTTTTAAAACTGAGCCTGTAAATCAATTCACCACCGGATGTCTGGCTGAAAGAGGCTCCGAAAGGCTCCTATTAACCCGTATTGTTTTGGACCCGACGGCCCACAGCGATGAGCCGAGTTGAAGCTCCTGCTGCGGACGCCCAGCTCCGCGCAGCAGGCGCTGCTGACATTGTACTTCTGTATAATACGTCTCCAGTAGAGAGGCCCCTGAAGTCCCATCCCTCATGCGCCGTCCATGCTCCTTCCTGTGATTATGAACCTATGGGAGTACTTTTAAAGAGCTTTTCAACTGTTGCTATAGTTACTTAGCAGAAGGAGCAGCGACTGCTATAGGTCCAGTAAAGGCACTTGACATCTGAGCGGGTTTCAGACATATGCAAATCCGAAGTGCAGGATGCTTGCAGATCAGTGAGTTTCTAGTAATGGTATAAGAATATGAATGCAGTCAAACGCTGCAAAAATTCACCGTTCAAAAACGGAGGAAGTAGTACAAAAACAGGGTGTAACTTACTAAAAATAAGAAAAATGATCTGCCAACAGAATTAGAAAATTTGGCTTGTCAAGATTTTCCCAAACCAAAATGAGCCTGTAAATACCTTAAAACTGGTGTAGTTTTGCTTGCAATAAGACCTTTTTACTTGTACAAATGACATATGAACTTATTTTAAGAAAAATATTCTGAAGTTAAGAAATTGTTACTTGACATTAAATTTCTTGAAACCAGCAGACATGTAGTTAATCCATAACAGGGCAGTTTATTAACTTGAATATAAAGTATACAATCTGTAATTCATTACTAATTGAACATCATAAAGTACAAATAATGACAGTAATACAATAAACAATTATTATCTCTTCCCATCTATAAGTACTGCAGCATTTTACTCAGGTTCTTTGTTAATGCAGAACATTCAATAATCTGCTTGGAGTATAAATGAAGGTAGAAGTATTAGCAACAGCAGCTGCAGTAGGAATAATAACAGATATTTTATTTGATAACACTATAAAATGTGGTGCAAGCGGTTGAATAAAAATGTGCAGAATGAGTTGATTTTTTTTTATTTTTCTCTGAATCTGATTAATTGATTTACTGTCATAATAATCAATCAATAGAGCAATAAATTGCAGCACTAATGCTACAAAAATAAAGAAAATCAAGTCTATGACATGAAAGGCCATTAAGGGCGGCGATATGGGCTTAGACATTTATCGCAGTTATGTGGTAACGATAGGTTAATACCAAACTATTTATTATTTATTTAACTGTGTTTTTGTAGCTACATGCATTTATAGCAGCACAAACAGAAATATTGTTACTGAAAAGCATTTCCACTCTTAAAGCAAAAAGTGTGAAACTATTTAATCATATTTTCTAATTTAGCGATAAATTATAGTGGTGAAAATAGCAAAAATAATGTCTGATGTTACTGTTGTTTTTTATTTGCATATCAAGAAAACGATGCTTATTAACTAGCAGCAGCAGCTGAGGGAAAAGGTGGAGGAGGCCGATCTCTTCACAGATTATCTGTTTCATATAAAAACATGGTGAACCATCTAACAAACATTGAAACATTTGTACCGTAGGTCTGAGAAGTCTCGCCGTGTTCTGAAATGTTCTTGTTCTCCATGCAGACATTTGCTGAAGGCGGAGCGTACCCTGTCAGAAGTGGAGGAAGAGGACGGCCTCCTGCAGAAGAGTCTGCAGGACGGCCTGAGGGAGAGCTACGCCAACTCCTTCAAGCCGCCGCTGGCCCGCTCGCTGCGCATCAAGGAGGAGCTCCTCAGCCAGAAGCACCGCCTGCTGAGCCAGCCCGCCGCTCTCTCTCTGGCCAACCTAGAGTCGGCCGGCTTGCTTAATCACGGGCAGTCCCACTCCTTACTCAGCCAAAAGGGCTCCTCTTCTCTCTGGGAAAGCAAGGCCCACCTCGAAAGCCTGATGAAGCTAAAGCAGGCCGGTGGGGCTCTAAGCGACCTCAAAGACCTGCCTACATTCCTGGAAAATCACCACAACCACCATGGAGCCTTCTCGTACAAGAGTTCCCTCCACCATCACAGCCACAATCAGGCCTCCAAGGCTCAGCACCACCACAGCGACGGGAAGCGAGAGCAGGGCCACTCGCCGCCCGTCGACCTGAAGATCCCACAGGTACGGGGCATGGATCTGTCCTGGGACTCCCACGCCTCCGAGCTGTACGGCTACGGCGCCATGGGCGTCGGGTCTGGAGGTCACGGCGAGAACAGTCTGAGCCGGAAGCTGAGAGCCATCTTGCCCAAACAGAACCGGCGCGGCGGGAGCCTGGGGAGCCTGCTGGACGGGGCGGCGGAGTACTGGAACGCCGACATAGACAGCTCCACCTCCGGCCCGGCGTACTCCATCTCCGACGTGGAAGTGGACCCGAGCTCCAAGCAGCCGAGGAAGAAGAGGGGCCGGTACCGCCAGTACAACAGCGAGATCCTGGAGGAAGCCATAGCCGTGGTGATGAGCGGGAAGATGAGCGTGTCCAAGGCGCAGAACATGTACGGCATCCCGCACAGCACCCTGGAGTACAAGGTGAAGGAGCGCATGGGAACCCTGAAGAACCCCCCAAAGAAGAAGCTGAAGCTGATGATGAAGATGGAGGCAGGAGGCCAGGATTTCCCGGCGGAGCCAGAGAACGCAGCCGCCACGACCCCGCGAGACGACGGGCTGGCGCTAGCCGCTGCCGAGCTGAAGGAAAACGCAAAGGAGAAGGCGGACGACGATTCCAAACCAATCGACTAAACAAGCCACACGCTAAACCTCACACGACGTTCGTCACTTCAAACACGGATGGGGCTTTCTTTGTGCCAATTTGCTTTGCAGTATCTGGGTGAGCACAAACGGAGGGACGGAATGAGGAGGATTCCTAAAAACTGCAGAGAAACACCTAATCGGACACTTTTTACCCGCCGAGCGAGCATTTGTTTAGCTTTTATATCCAAAGCTTAACAAATGCAACGGAGAACAATAGTTAAGTAAAAGACAATTAATGAAAATTCTTTAAGCATGCTGATAATCCCCGGCCCCACAAACCCCGACCTCTCCTTTCCCTGAACTCTACACACGGATCTGTTGCTGCTTACAAACGGAGTTTGGGCTTTGGATGAATCCCATCTACTCTGGGGAAAACAAATGAATGTTCAAAATTTACAAACACAATCCGACCAATTGGGCCCGTTGCCACTCCCCTCTCAGAGAATTTTCTGAAATTGGTAAGTGAACTGTTTCTTACGTTTGAAGCCGACTGTAGGGTTGAATCATCCCATCGTTTCCTCACTCGGGTTCGGAATCAAACCCATCCTCCTCTTGCCAGGTAGCCATGATGCTTTAACTGCAAAACTCTTTTCTTTCCTCCTTAAGAATATAATCTCTGTGCAGACGAAAGCAAGATTAACCCGTCCTCTTGTGAGCAAGAGAAGACACACAAAGTCATTCAGGGATGCATGTTTGTGAGTTTCGTGGACACTACTGACTTCTGTAATCAACTCCTTTTCTTCTCTCTTTAATTTTCGTTTGGTTTGCTTTCTTTTGCACTACACTTTGGGTCTGGCGCTCACAGACCACGTTACCTCGGCATTGTTGCCCATGCATCATGCACTTATTATGGTCTGTCTCTGAAGCCCAGTCGCAACCTTGCAACGGGTCAGAGGTGCACATCGCCTTCGAATGCTGATTCATATTCAGAAGCGGGACGCTCTGAATTCACCCTCGTCTTTTCTTTCTTGTTTTTTCCCCCGTTTTGGTTTCGTTCTCACGCCAAGGGACAACTTGAAGGGTACTCTGATTATGGATCAGCCGTTTTTAGGGCGGGATGCTACCTCATGGACCTCCTTCAGTCTGCTGATCCTGGAAAAGGCGGAGCCACCTTCAGGTTGCCCTCCAAAAGAACAGAAACATCGGTGACCAAAGTGAGCTCGACACCCTCATGTAACGGCTTCTGGACGGCGGCGGCCTTTTGGGATCAGAATGTGAAACTGTGCTGCTATCCAGTTCATCGTCTCGACTCCTGCGAAGGCTTTTAGCGGGCCCAGGCTGAATCATTTGAACTTAGCCAATAACATCTTACTGCTGATGTGTTTTTCTTTTTCTTTTCTAATCAGACTAAGCAAAAGCAGCTTAGTTGAGAAGTTTTAAGACAAATTCCTCCCCCGCTCAAACGTCAAAGACAGTTTAAAAGGCAGTTATGTATGAAACGATGTGCATTTATGGAGGGGTGGGCTCGTTTTGGGGTAATATGCAGTGGGCGGGGTTAGCTGTTAGGTGGGGACAGGCAGATTTTAATATATTTTAAGTTATTGTGACCGATTATGTAAAAGCCAATCCATGATTCTGGGTGTTTTTGTTTTCTCCGCTCATTTTTAACTCAGGGTAACTGAGATGGAAGACGTGGGTTACCAATACGGTGATTTCTTGTTGGACCTATAGTAACAGAGAGGAGGACAAGACGAGCCTCTCGCTAATACTTTCGATTACGATGGCGGTGCCATTACAGAACAGACCTGCTACTGAAACACAGAAGGAGGTCAGGAAACGCTCAACGATGGGTTTGTGATTTGAACGTATTGAACTAAAATAGCACTTTTTATCCAAGTGAGGGTAAAACAAGTTTGAGGTTATGCATGTAGTGTAGCTCTTCTTCACGGCAGACGGAGCAGAGGGGGATGAAAAGCTTTAGTGTGTGACGACTTTCCGAACATTGCAGCCCGAACCCAAACGACTCTTTGTCTTTCTTTGTGCTGCGGTTGAGGAGGAGGAGGAAAAAGACCTGGAACAAGTTTGTTTTTGTGTCGCGTCTCGTTGTTTCCCCTCCTCTGATTGAAATGTTGCTCTTTGCTCTCGACACTGCCTGCTGTTCACCCAGTCCGAGACTCTGACTCTCCTCAGATGATTCACTCCTTTTGGAAATGTTTGTTGTTATTTATTTGATTTTAAAATGGCATGCACCGTTGCTTTCTCTATTTTTTTTTTTTTTTTTTTAGCTGAGTTTTGCGTTAAACGTTATTGTTGTTAATTGGTCACAATCTGACAGAAATTGGCCTGATCTACAATCTGGGACCCCCCAATGTTGTGGTTATTGGGATTTGTCATTAAAAAGTGAAGCAAAGATCCGTGGGGTCGTCCTGCATAAAATGCATCCAACACTTAGCAATGCGAAGCGTTGAAAGTGTCTAAAATGTGATCAAAGGTTAGTTTTAAAAAAAACTAAATTAGTGTTGGACTCCTTCCTTTGGTTAAAAAATAAAGAATAAACTGCTTGCCACTTTCATGTAATGCATGTAAAGCGTAACAAAAGATGTGAAGAATCATCACAATTGGCATTAAATGCAGACAAATTCAACCAGCACTTACAGCGAATTCCCCTCAGAGGGGCAAAAAGTGTCAACGATTTACACAAAAATGTTCTCTTTTCAGGCGTTTACGGTTATTTTTGTGCTTTATTCTGTAGTTTTGTACAAACTAGTCGTTTCTGCTGAGGTGCATGCCATTTCAGGTATATATTTATTTCCTGAATTTTATTTTTTACTTTTTTGAGTGTATACGGTTAACATATCCACCTGTCCAAAAAACAAAAAACCCTCTTTAGAATGAGACTCGCCACATGACATTTAACAAAAGAGACCTTGCGTTCTTACTTTCATGCAAAGTAGGGAAAACCTCATTTTTTAACAGACTGTTGTGATGTTTTTATTTGATTTTTGGTTTCATCTGCAGTGGAAGCACTCCAACCGTAGCCTTGGTACTGTAACTGTCTCAGGTTCTGCTGCCCACAGCTTTGGGCCGCCATATTAGTCAGTCAGCAAACGGCACAACCTGAACTACCTACACTTTGTTTAACGGACGGGCGACACATTAAACACGTGGCAGGAAACCAACCGTGCCTTCAAAGCCGCTTCACCTTCGGGAGGTTTCTCACCGCGTCAGAAAACGAGGGAAAAACTGATTTCCTGGTTTTAAACTCATCCACTGTCCAACAACACACTTTTCTTTATAAAATGCTATTTAATCTGTTTTAATAACTGACTAAAAACGCAGGAAAAAAATCAAAAAATCCCTGTCACAACAACACTCTTCGGTGTGGAGGTTGTTACTGAGGGGAGGAGAGTTAAATAAGTCAATAAGGTGTTTAAAACGAAGCAGGAAAGCTTTAAAGGATTTCTGCTGTAGATTTTCTCAGAGACAGAAAACCTCACAGCCTCAGGCTTTTATTGGGAAAAACATATTTTTTAACTGATATTTCAGTCAGAGTTGCATTTGCAACTTACTGAAAAATTATGATTAATAAATCTATTATTTATATTCTTCTTTATAGTTCTTAAAGAGAAATTAGAATGAACTAAAATTGGTTATGTTAAGTTGATGCTGTTAATTGGTGCACTGCAAAAAAATGTAATCTTACCAAGAATTTTTGCTGTTTTTTCTGGTGCAAATACAAGTTTCAGCAAGAAATAGGAGCTTATTTTAAGTCAGTAATACCTTAATATTCATTTAAAAACTGTTTTCCTGGAATTTTAATTCTGTAACAAAACATTTTCCCTAAAAAATAAATGAAATAATCTGCCAGTGCAGCTAATGTTTTTTATAGAATTATTGACTTAAAACAAGATCCTGCTTCTGTTTTCTCCTATTTCCAGCCATTTGCACAGGAAAACAAATTTTGCTGGACGATAAATTGTCCCAGTAGTTATTGTGATAAATGATAATATTGTTATTTTGAGACGATTTTCAAGTAATATGAAGACAGTGACATAATAATGCAAAAATATATAATAAAAGATCAATAAACTTTAAATTCTAATGAAGATTTAACACCAGAACTGGGCAACATTTTAAATATCCAAACAAAACTACAAATAAAATTAATTGTGATGTCTCTGTAAACAAAATTATCCTTCAAAATAAGAGCGCTAGTTGAGACCAAAACAATAATGGAATTTTGTCGTCCAGTTTTTGGTAGAAAGGAAAAAGACAAACAATAAATAATGCAGATTTAATTGATTTATTGCTTATTGTGTACTGGAAGCCAGATGGGAGATGCGTGGTAATATTTAGTGTTTTTGCTGTAAAGTTTCTGATCGTTCCTTCCAGTCTCATCTAAACAGACCCAGGAGAACCTCTCCTCTGTTTTTCCTTCCTGTTTCGGGTCGGTCCCCAGGCGGCTGCCTCCCGCAGGGTGAAACGTTTTGGGCTCTCCTGTTTAATCTGTGGCCTGTCTGTGAGCTGAACGCTGTACCTCAGCCTCCTCCTCCTGGTGCCGGCGCGCTGCGGCGATAAACGATACTCTGGGAAATACGCCGTCCTCCACTGCTTCTTTTCAGTGCTCTTCTTTTCTTTTGTCTGTTTTCTGCCCTCCTCTCATGAAGGGGGGAGGGAGATGCTTCAAATATCTGACTGACCAATATGTGCCGCCCCAACACAAAGCTTGCTCTCTTTTTGTTTTATTTTTAATATGCTGTTAATTTGGTTTCACAGTGGAGGCAGGACCCACCCTGCTCCGACAGAATAGAGAAGCGTGTTCTTTATTGGTCGTTAGATGTAACTGTAGTGCAGGTTGAAACCTGACAGGACATATTTTTTGCACTTTTTATTGTCTCACAGCTGAAGAGACCCAGAGGGGACATTTGGGGGACAGGTGGACACGTTAATCTTCCGTTATCAGATTTCCTTTCCAACCCTGACACAGATTTGATGTACGTCAGAATGTGTTTCCTGACTTTTTATTTTCGGTTTCTCTCATCCTTTCGTGTTTTTTTTTTTTTTTTTTCCCTGAATCAAAGACTTTAAAAGCACGAGAAAAGAAAAGAACAATGTTAAGCAGCAACTACTGTAACCTCACTAGGTAGGCCCCCCGTTCTGTCCCAGGACGGTGCACAACGAGGCGGCCTACTCTGAAAGAAAAACACTTTTACGTGACGTGTGTATGACTGCTATGCTCCTCTCTGCAGAGAGGCTTCCTCTGTTTTTGCTCGTCATTTATACCTCAGGTCTGGCCACTTAAAAGCAGCTGATTGTATATTAGAAACACACACACACTAAAAGAGAATCAGGACTTTTAGTACGGCTTGTTTCCAGATTTTTAGGGCCTAACACACACAGAGCGGATTTTAGATAAGTGTTTTTTCTCGACGTGATTGTTCGTACTCTTCTTACTCCTCGTGGCATGTGATTTTTGCTTTGTTTTCCTACAAACAAACAAAGATAAATTCCTTCAAATGCCAGAAGCCAGGTTTTATGAATATAATGCTGTGTTCTCTTTAGCACATACAGCCGTGGGAGAGCAGAACGCACACACACACACACACACACACACACACACACACACACGATGCACCTAGAGCGACACACTCTCCCTCCTCATCAGGTAACCACATTTTGTGTGGGCGGGTTTTATGTATAATTATGAAGCTGAGGCTGCCGAGTCTCTGGAAGCAGGTGGGAGTGTTTTATCCACTGAACATCATCACTGCAAGCTTTCCCTCTGTGAAATCCTCACTTCCTGTCCGCTCTCTCCTTTCCTAATGACACTTCTTTCTCTCCTCCGCTTTTCGCCGAGCTTTAATCCGCCTATCCAGACATAAGAAAAGTTTTTTTTTTTCCTCGCCTTCCTGTCACAAACGATTCCTAATCGTTTTGGTTATGAGCAGAAGTGACTTCGTACCAGCTACTGTAAATTAGAAAAACTGGAATTTTTCTAAATTAAGATGAAGACAAACGAATGAGAGTTTCAACAGCTGCTGTACTTAACAGAAACAGCAGCTGTTCTACATAATGCAGATCGTTACACTGCAAAAACACAAAGTCTTACCATATTTTTACTCTGCTTTCTAATGCAAATATCTTAAACACTTTAAATAAAACAAAACTGACTTTCCAGCAAGATATGGAAACTTGTTTTAAATCAATAATGAAAAATTGCTAGTTCTAATGGCAGATTAATTCATTTATAATGGGATAATTTTTCCATATTATGAAATAACATGCTAAGTACTTTTTCCTTAATATTAAGGAATTATTTACTTAAACTCCTATGTCTTGTTGAAAAGTTACTTGTAAGTTAGTTTTGTCTTATTTCAAGTTTACTAAGAGATTTGCACTAGAAAGTAGAGTAAAAATACTTGGTAAGTTTTTATGTTAACCCTGTCAAAATATCCAAACCTGGCATGTAAAACGGAAAACGTTCCTCACTTTTAATTATTCTTATTATGAGCAGAGACGGTGTTAAACCACCTGTTTTAACTTAGTAAAACTGAAGTTCATCTACAGTCAGATGAAGGCATTATAAACTTGGTTCAGCATGTTTTGCTAACGATTAGCACAGTTAGCACTACTAGCATAACAGAAACGGGCAGCAGTTTAATCTACAGAATGTAGCTCTTTACACTGCAAAAACACAAAGTCTTACCAAGTATTTTGTCTAGTTTCTATTGCAAATATCTTAGTACACTATAAGACAAAGCTAACTTACAGATAACAAGTTACAGGAGCTTGTTTTAAGTCAATAATTCCTTAATATTGATGAAAAGTTCTAGTTTACTGTCGTATTTCCCCTTAAATCAAGACATTTTTCCTGTATTATAAGTGAAATAAGTGACGTTTTGCCCCAGTTTCTTGAATGTCAGAGAGAAAGTAGCTGCAGGAGGAAAGAAATTGTTTCGTTCTGGAATAAAATGTTGGTCATTCGTGGAGGCTCAAAATTTGTTTTACAGAAAATTTTAAACTTTATTGCTTCATCTTCAAAAATGTTTTCCAGAATAA